AGTATACGTATGCTTGCCAATTCTTCAATGATAAAAAGGCATACTACTTAAGTTGCCAGTTGTTAAAATCCATACTTTTTGCTGGAAGTCAGAACGAATCTCGTTAAAAAGCCTGCATCCAATCATGACGGAGTAGACTTCAAAATAGACTACACGATAATCAGTATCACAACCTGAGTGGATACCGATTAGCGAAAGACTATAAATTTTTCGCCTATGTCGAAATATTGCGCGAATTGTGGCCTCTACTGTATAATGAGGTGGTAATAAACCAAATGACAGTTTGCCATTTTTATACCTCTCGTTGTCGAATTCCACAGTTAGACGTCTGCCAAAAGTTTGATCCCTAAAGGATAATCAAAGTTGTTTGAAGTAAAAATAAAAGACGTTTATTTTTATTAATAACAATGGCCTTCCTATTATTTTATATTCATAAGTTCATTGTAAGCCTCAGTACTGAATGCATCCATAAAATCCAATTCAAAAATGCTCCTTGGCTACGTCTGTCTGCATATATTTACTCGAGTAACTGTTTTGCATTTAATGAAGCGACATATGTTAAATATAACTAAAGACCTAATGTATTGAGAGAAGCAAGATAGACGAAATGCAGCTTTAAAAATCTACTAATTTCTTTGAAAAAATAATATTTCCTCAAGAGCTATCGGACCAATATAAATGAAGTAGGAACAACTGGGAATTTCACTAAATGTACGATTAGTGAATGTTGACTACATGGGGTAGTCAGGATTATTTTAGCATGACAGCCACCTCAGTCAACTGAACACAAAGCTGCATGGAACTTCACTCGAAATTAATGGTACTAAATATGAACAACTGCTGGGCATACCACGGCATTTTTTGGCCTGACGCCTATTGTCGTGAGGGAGTGGATCGTGCACGGCAGTGTAAGGCAGTTGATGATAGGCAGAAAATAGGTTGTTATTAAGTGACTAAGATGGGAACGGGGACGGGGCGAGGGAAAAACGTACGGCTTGAAGGCCTGAACTGTTGCACTGATAGCGCCACTGCCTACATCGGCCTGTGCGCGCGCGCTCCCGCATCTGCCTCGATATTCGCCAGAGCGTTGGTTCGTCCCAGTCGGAATTCCGGGCGGTCCAGAACACAAATATTTGCCCACAGAAACACAGATGGTTGCATACTCCAGTCGACAAACATTTACTGTCTATTTATTAGCTTAAAATGGTATTTTTGTAAAGACAACGCAGCCGCGGCGCATTTTTCGTTGTTCGTGTTCACACTGCATTCCTGGTGGGTGTGTCTTGCATGGATATGATATTTTGTGTCTGCACTTCTTTGCGGACAGAAGATAATGAAGATAAATTTAAATATAAACATTGAAAAGGTAACAGTTACTTTCAACTTTGACATTGTAAAAATAGTTATACGATTATCAAAAATGGTTAAGCGATCCATCACCAAATCCGTTTCCTAGTTGGTCTGATAAAGCTGTTTTCAATTCGCCCGAGCCGAAATATTATGTAGGAATAGTCCAGTTGCTTCTACATAGACGAAGTCATTTTTGTAACAGCTATTGGGACTGCCAAGATTGTTTGAAGGGACTAAACCCATTTTTTATAAGGTCTGAGATAGAGGCGGTGCAATCTTCTGCTGGGTAAAGTGGCCACTATCCATGACTGTCGACATCGCTCTCTGTCTTTGCCGTCCCCACTATACTTCTCGGTCGGTTGTTTAGCAAAAATTGTTGTGTCGTTCCTCTCTCCGGAAATATATTGTAAAGTTGGAGCGCCTTTCAGTTCCCTATACTCCATATTTTTTAATATGTTTTGGCATTCATTATTGTCAATAAATGTCTCAATCATCTGTCTCTTTTCCTTCTCTGACTGCCTGCGCGTGCAAGATAGCCTCTCCAGGGTCCCTGCTCAATTATTTGCTCGTTAAAATATCCCCATGATGTGTTATGTCAATCCATCTGTACCTCCTCAACGTTCTCGGATGCTGCAGTTTGTCGTTTATGTAATGAACTGATAATAGAGACATACGAACTGGTGGACGGAATAAAACATATTGACCTGACACTTTTATTTGCTGCCAGTAATCCAAAAAAATAAAAATTAGCATTTAAATTCTATTTTGAAATTTTTGGTCATTACGGAAGTTGAAAATTGAACAAGGCTTTCTCAAAATGGTAGAGAATTATTTCAATGAATAAGCTTTATCAGGTTTCCTCACAATGAGATGTATAAAGCGTTATAAAAATGACTGTAAGCAATTTGCAAATAAATTAGGGAATTCAAACCAATACGCCTAAGGAAGTAACCGGCTTCGTTTTTGGAGATTGTGTGTATTCTTTCAAAAAAACCATATTATGTTTTAACTATAAAAACTAAGGGGAACATATGTTCTAATCCTTCGGCCTTGGGCGATTTGCAACAGAAAACGGTTTAATTTCCAACTGCGGTCAAAGCACACCAGCGAAATTGAGGCCTACTGAAATAAGTTTTTAGTACGACAAGACAGATAGACAAGAGTTAATAATTTAAAAGCCATTATATATATTGGAACACGTTAGAACGGTTAAACAAATCTGCATTAACATACAATTTTAAGCCTAGTACTTCACCTGTGACTGAAATCGCGTGTCTTTCCAGCTTGCATGAAGGGATGGACTCACTGGTCTCTAATACGATTTTCGTCTCCACTGGCAACTAATATTAGAATATTACTGGTAAATGTCAATGTGTAAAACCTAAATGGATCTTCAAGTATTCATAACAGCCCGTATGATTACTTCGCTCAGTTACTATCATCCACACTGTCGCCAGCACTCGGGGAGTGGATTAAAAATAAACGTCGTTATTGCTGATTAAAAGCCTAAACCGTGTTATTTACGTCAACACACCCTATCTCAATAAAATTGGTATGAATTAATTCTTTAATCATAGAAACCCGTTGAAGTGAAGAACATATGAAAGTAGTGCTTCAGCAATTGTGAAACGGGGACTGAGTCAATATTAATCGTTTTGCAAAAGGTCCGGTGGGGGCCTTCTCAGGCCTGGAGCATTCTATAGCTGTCAAAGACGTTTAGCTGACATATGTCGATGATTTGTTTTCATGGCAGAGGAAAACTATCTTCTTGCTTTCAAGGGGTGGTTTTCACATAAGTTTTCATACGATAAATAGGTGTCTCGTTAACACACTTTTAACGCACGGGTTTATCTACACCATGTTATAAGCGGAAAACGTGGATTTCTAAATGCTAAATCCTGTTTATTTCGTGTAATTAAATTCCAATTAAAAAAAGTATTTTGTGCTGCAGTCTATCGGCCAAGGCAAACTTGACCAATTAGGCAACCGATGTCCTACAGGACAATTAAATATAAACGCTTATTCTCCGTGAAATACCACCTGATAGCCGCAACGAATTTGTCCCCCAACATGCGCCTTCCTAAGCAGCTATGCTAAAGAACGTATGCTTACATATTTAATTAGAAACACGCATATCAAGAAAGCTGTTAACAGGTAACATATGCTTGGTTCTGCTTCGGGGAAAACAATCAAACTTCCCACTCAATTTTGCGCGTATCGAGTTAGGGTTTACTAAAAGACTTACGAGTGATTCAAGCGATCAGTGCACATTTGAATAATTCATCTGACGTACTACTTCAGAATTAGTGGATTCTATAAGTTACAATAGACTGGCTGGATGACTAAAAAAACTGTGATTAAGCTCACGGTTCCCTGTGAAGCCTAATAGCTCCGTCGGCTAGAGCGTTGGATGAACTGAAGATGTCCCATTGCTGGTGTGGTCTAGAATCCCACAAAGGCCACCAACGTATTTACAACTGAGACAGATGTGTCAGTGCAGTCCCTTTTCCTTGAAGAACTATTAAGTTGACCGGCATGAGTGGAAAATACTTTAAGCCCCCAACGTAATTCTGCAACGTGGTATTATTCCAATAAGAAACCGACCAAGCTAACTAATTTTTACTTAGATATTTCGGTTTACGACTTAGCAAATACAGATGCAACTTGCCTTCTATGTGGAAACCTACAAATACCACTTAGAAGTAAACCAAGTCAGAAACAACTTAGTGTGTCTCTGACTGATTCTAATGGTGACGGTTGTTAAAAGTTCTATGTCAAATTGAATAACTTTGAATAGCTAAACTTAGAAATTATGAAACGCACATGAAGTATATTTTTCTTGAATTTGACAGCAAGTAACCTTATGTGTCATATTGCGTCTATTATTATGTAGCAGTAACAATTATACTATGTTTTATAAGGTGAGCAATGACTACCTAATTTACTTGATCATATACACGTGGATAAATGAAAATATTCGCAAAGGCATACATTCTCATATAAGACAACAATGACCACTATATCCAGGCATGTTTACTACAAAAAAGCAAATAGAAATTCCCTAATTATTCCGCAAAAAAACAAACTTTTAAGACTATAAAAAGGTTAACGTATAGAACGTCCGGCTTACTTTATATCGAAAGTGGTTGAGAGGTTAAATTTTAATTTCTTGTAGACGCGTATAACAGCGAATTAAAACGACCTGTCTTAACGATTTCTCTTCCCATTTCCATTTTTCCTGCAAACAGACTAAAGGTCCTAGTAGCGCGTGCTCGATTGCACTTGAATTACAAGTAAATATTTAGGGTGCATAAGGCAAATCCAATCCTAACAGATAATTCTTGCCTAAAAATCACAAGAATAACTTATACACTATCTAAAAACTATTGAAACGGTGAATTGTTCCTTCCTGTGCTCAAACACCAAACGCCAATCAGATCGAAGCTAACCTTTTGAACAATAAGTGAAACGTGATTTACCCACCAACCCGAATTTTATTAAAGCGGAGAAAGCGTGCGAATCAGCGCCCGTCGCAAAGTTCAAGAAAACCAATAAGGCACTAGCAAAATGGAAACTCTAGTGAAGCCAGGTATAAAGCCACATAAAACAAGGTCTGCCAGTTACGTAACTATACAAGAGAAAGGGTCAAGATGAAAAAGGACAGCCTCAATACTCAAGCAAGCTCTTCTCGGAATTTTACAAAATCACCACAACGTTCATCCCAACCCCTATTCTCACACAAAATTATTCCCGTCTCCCACATCTTTTCGACCTACCTTCTTGTCTTCGCCCTAATACTCTTGACAAGCCAGTGTACGCTTGCCCATGCGGCAAGTCGGTTCAGACGGCCGTACACATTTTTCGGCATCCATCCTGAGGAAACCTACAGAGAGTTAACGAAATCAGTACGGAAACGAGAGGCGGCAGCCCGCTTACCAACCTGGGGCATCCCCGATGACCTTGGCATGGGTTCGGATGGGCTGGGGGATGAGGGGGAGGAAAAGCCCGCATTTAACATAGGACTGCTTCAGGAGGCTGGAAAATCCGGTGACAAACAGAAGACTTTCCTTACGCGCAGTGAAATCCAAGCATATCTTGCACATTTAAATGCATTTTACCTAAAAAATGGCATGCCCAGGTAAAATCGTCAGCCCTTTTTTAGATTTTTTTTAAATGCACATGAATATGACCACTTTTGGTAATTTTTGCTCAAATAATGCTAATTTTAGTGCGGTTTCAATTTGATTAAACGTCACATAATAAAGTATTAAAATGCCTTGTACAAAGTGGAAACTAGCAAGATTAATGCATTTAATATGTCTGTTCGTAAGCAGTGCCCTTTGTGGGGTTGGTTTATAATATCTGGAAGAGAGTACTTACTGCACAGCCTTTGAGCAACATCCACAAATTAACAATGGCTGAGTGAGTATATCTGCGTGTGGAAGCCGTCCAACCATTTCCTACTATGTTAATCTCCATTTATCTCTCAATTGATGACTTATTGGGATTTATAGGCAATATTAAAAACAAAATGATCCTGCAATTGTGTAGCTTTTATTGAAAGTGCCGATTGAGAAATTAGTTGAATTAAATAGTTGATTTAGGCCTACATAAATTGTGGCTTCTTGAATGTCTAAATCGTCTACTGGAAAGACTATTCAATAATCTAAAAAAATTCCATCAGCAAAGGGAAAAGAAATGCTTGAGTTCGATATATGTGCATGGCTAGCGCAACAACAGGCTGACTCTATCAAACACGTGATGTCATACGAAATGCTTTATCAGAAATGCACCTATTTCACTTGACAAAAACGAAACGACAGACCTTCAGTAGTAAACAAAGTCTTTGGTAGAGTTTATGAGCCAGTTTAGGACAGGGTTGTTTATATAAATTGCCAGACTAGATTACGTCAGTTGAAAGACGTCACTTATAATCCTTCGGGCAGTTGTATTACCTTCAGTTTATGACGCTAATTATTAAAACCTACTGAAGATTGCCATCTCAGCACTTCAGACAGACAAAAATATAGGTCTTCGCACTTTGCATCTTTAAATCAGAACATGACATGGAATATTTTAAAAGCCGCTAGATATTTAAAAGTAAATGCTGGCATAGCAAAAGAACACACTTAATATTAAAACCTGCGAAAATAGTTCATTTGAGTTACGTTTACTCTTAAATGATTCTCAGTTACTGCCAAAAACGATTATTTTAGGAACGGAATAGAAACGATTTTTCAGTTGATATGTTAAAGACAACAATCATGCCTTGGTCGTAGAAGCATTGAACGATTGTTTTATATACATCGCAGAGGAACATGTAAGAACAGTCCTAGTGTATTTTGTCTGACTCGGTTCAGCAGATATCTGCAAATTTTCAAGATTACTATTATTTTATAAATTTATGAAATAAGTACGAGTTATATTTCATAAGAACATGACTTACAGAAGCAATAGAAGTAGTATTTTAGTCCTCCATAGACAATCGTACATTAAAACTTAAATACATTTATTTTTCGAAAGGACTTTCCTTTCCTGAAAACTCAGTTTTTTAGAATAATTTGTCGGGACTGCTAAAATAAGCATCACATTTCTTTTCCTTTTAGGTACGGTTGAACAGACGTCCCTGTAGAGCTATCGAAAACTGTGAATATGCGTCTCTTTTTCAGTAATACAACTGAGAAAAAACTGCTTTTCTAAAGAAATTCCATTTTTCTGGGTTACTGGGTATCTGCGTACCTCCGTTGCAAGCATTCTTTATGATTCAAATTCTTCCCCTAATCGATATAGTTTTAGATTTGTAAAAGTGACTGTCGCAAATTGCCTTCAACCGCATGAAAGTTAAAACACCAAGTTAAATTAGTGAAGTATTTTGGGTTTAAACTGTCATCTAGTAATGGTAGTGTTCGAATGTTAGTTCTTTTCAAATGTTTTATAGTGAACAGGATAGGAATAAATAAATGCAGAATTAATAAATCAGTGTGTTGTATTTAAAAAAAATAAATTAAAAGAACACGATAACATATCCGGACCCCGAATCTTTTGGCATAAAAAGAATTATATATCACGAAATATAACAGGATTCGTCGAGAAATCCGGCGAAGATTGCTGTTTCAGACTAGTGGTAACTAGGAAATGTACATAAATTAATTAGATGATGTAGACTTACATAGCGAGTCTTATTCGGGTAAAAATTATCCGACCTTCATTTTTGGTAAAGAAGCGATGTTCTTTTCACCGCATACCTGTTACATACAAATAACATTATCAAAAAATTAGCAAGTATTAGAGCGAATGTAATGTCCTGAAATAAATAGATATGAAGGGAACCTAAAAACACTAAAAACGACTTTAAAAATTGTGTGAATACCCGCGTGCATATTATAAATTTTTGAAAACGCAAATATGTACAATGTAAATAGGAGACTAACCCTTTATAGCTATATCCTATTTTGTTAAATGCTTCACAGTGTATATCATTAAAAGGATCCTAAGACCAAATTTATACCAAACCCATATTTTCCAAACATAAAAATCCGACAGATGATTCCATTTTCAAATGTTAGTTTACATGTTCTCACATTTCGCCATCGCTTGGATTTTGCTGCTTCGGAAAAAAGAAACAGATTAAGTTGTTTGGATAACCAACAACTGAACATATGAAAGTGGAAACTGTACACCTATCGTATTGAAGGACATCCGCATAATCTTAACGGCTACTTGCATCTTTTTGAAGCAGAATGAAATGTAGCTAACAAATTTATTAAATTTTGGCCTCGGAAAGTAATCGTGTTAAAAAAATACTGTTTATGCTTCGCACAATTATAATTTACCACCTTGATCGAAAAATTTTCAGTTTCGATTGAAATTTAGCAAAGTTGTTGCTCAAAGGACAAAGCACTTTACCAAGATCGACTTTTTAGTGTTTATTCTGCACTTGATGGACCAAAATACTGCAGTGACAAATAAAATGCTGGAAGCTTTTATGTGGAAATGTTAAGCTAACTTGCACAAACGCCAGACGCCCATCTGTATTTTCTAAGATAAGTTGCCTTAAAATGATCTATCTTATTAGGTTTATTTGTAAAGTAAAGTTAAAATGATCAAGGTTTGACGTCCACTAGTTTAGACGACTGAAAATTCTCGAGCGTTTTGCATTCGTGCATTCGCTCCTACACATTCAGTGCCGTTTTAACATGTGTAGGACTCTAATAGAACTGCACTGACTCAATAACTTTTACATTGACTTGATCCAATAACACGCTTAAATTTAAATAACCTTTTATGCTGGGCATCAATGTCCCGCTATTGATGCGCTATCGATGCCACTATCAAGAGGAAACGTTTTGAGAAATAGTTTTGTTTGGATTCGTAATTTCTATTGTAAAAACACGCATGAACTTTACATTTTAGAGCATAAATATAAATAGATCCCATGAGTATGTATCGAACAACCACTTTGAAAATACTTTATCTTATTGTATGGGATGACCGTCTGCTATATTCATCTTAATATAATAAAAGTTTTGAAGGCTTTACATATAACCGGCACTCCGGAAAAGGATATTCCTTGATGCTTGCACTTCATAAAAATTTTAGGTATGCTAGACCTCCGTTCAACATAAGCCAAGTCAAATATCTAGAAGTCACATGCCAAAAATAATTGTTTTAATATGTGAGTAAATTCCTATTGTTTAAACGACAAGGCAAAATAAGATAGGATAAAAACTCCTTGAATAGCAGATAAAAGCTATTTGCTAAATAAAACCTACGTGTAACTTCCTTGGAGATTTGTCAAATTTAGATGTCAGTGAATTGGGCAGAATGCAATATCGGTATTTCAGATTTGAAAGGAAGAGCAACTTCAAACACGCAACCTCTGAGAGCACATGCAATATGATGTTTAGTCAATGGATTAATCCCTTATGGGAACGGAACAAAGAAGAATGGTGTGGTTTGTTACTCAGAATAAGCCTTTAGTTTTCCAAAAGCATGTTGCTCATAAATGACCGTGTAAAACCCATTATGGTGTTTCGGGTATTATAAGATTGCAAGGGCCTTTGAACATGCAACACTTTCTGAATTTTTGTTAGCACCGTCAGAAAATTCTACTGAAGATTTAAAATTTCAAGTGCTGATTTACTGAGCTTCCAATCCGATGTTACCACAAGTCTTTCGATTAATGAGAGGAGCTCATTTTATGTAAATTGCTTTTCTTCAACCAACAGTGGTAAGTAGTAGGTTGTATCGTACGCTGTGAGCTCCGATTTTTTTCACAGCCACAGACATTATTCTCAGGAGAAAGCAAAGAATCGTACTCCAACTTTGCCAAATATTTAACAAGCTTACACCACTGGCGTAACAGGCACCTGCAATTGAGAAAACGCTAATAAGCCCCTTATATTTCCAGACTGAAACCAAATGTTCAGCCGTTTATCTATTTCTGGCATACCCTTCAAGTGAATACAGCCCATTTTATTCCTCATTTCACCACCTTGAATGAAATAAACAGTAGATTATATATGATGTAATGTTGAGATAAAACGTGATTGGGTGATTTAAAACATATTTGAGGTTGTTTATTTTCTTCATTGAATTGACTTGAGGTGCACAATGCTGTTTAATAGCAAAGAGTCCGGTTAATTTCAGCATACTGGGGCAAACCGGGGACAAGTGGGGCCAAATCCAAGGAACTTCCTACGCTACTAAACGTTGCAGAAATCACTCCTTGTCTTTGGGCACTCTATTATAAAAGAT